TTGAATAGCATATTAGAATTTTGTACAATGAAATTTTAATTGTTGAAATAAATCCTCTAATATTATTGAAAATTAAGTTCAAATTAGCTATTTCACTTTAAGATGGAGTGAGAAATATTTTATACTATTTGTCTGGGTTTTTCATAATATCTTTTTTTTTTTTTTATACTATTATATTCCTTTATCCAAACAAAATTTACCCGAAGGTAAAAATGTGTAAATGAACTTTTACATATAGAGTATTCAAAAGAGGAAAAATTGTTATGTTAGTGTTTCTTTTTAAAATGAAAAATTGTATAACTAACTGTTACTGTAAGCAATGAAGATCGCCATAAAAGTGTTATAGTAATAAGCTACACATAAAATGAAGGTAGACTTTTGTGATATTATGTAATTGGGTTACTGTTATTTATAGCAATTTCGATAAATAAACAAATATTATTATTGTAAATTTGTATACTAACATTAAGCTTAGAATAAAGACTAATTTGATATTAATTAAATTATTGTTTAAAAATGGTCATATTGTTTATTAATTAATTAAAAACTACCATAACCTAACTTTTTACTCTTGTACATAAAATTTTAATCATTGTCTACAATAGCCTTAATATGTATAAAATAATATAACTTCAATTACACTTTAGTTCATTTTTTAATAACTCACTTTGTATCACCTAAATTAAATAATAAACACTTTTGATTATGGATGTTCCTGGTAGAAAATGTATATACAAACTGAATACTAAGTAAAACTAATTCTAGTATTGGGTAAAAGTTGAGAAACAATTAACACACAATCCAAGTATTTCGAGTAATTACTAGGTACTCGAAACATCTTTGTCCATAGTATTACAAATATTACTTGTTTGTTTCAAAAAAACTATCAACCTTAAACATTTTTTTTTTAAATATCACATAAAAATTGCAATTAAACATTTTTAATTTGTAAAACAGTTTGGATTTTAAAACAAAATAAATATCATACACAAAAGTGTCAACAATTTTACGAATAACAATTTTAAATTGGATGTTTTATAGGTTAATAAATTTTTTTAATGAAATTGAATATTGCGTGTCGCATTGCATTTAAAAATTAAAATTCCTACGGGAATTAGTTACACCTTAGTTTTTTATGCAAACTGTATTTAACTTTTCAGAAAATTTAAAAAATAGCCGATATTTATCATAATTGAAGTCGTAACCGTAAATACAATGTATGGAAATTCACATACAGCAATAGACAAATTGGTTTCCAATTACTGAATATAAGTGTATAATATCCATATAACTGGAAGTTTGAAGCATCCAAAAGGAGTAATTTTGTTTATTTGTGATGCATGAGTTTAATGGTAAATTTTAAAACTCTTGTGTTGACATTTAAGTATACTTTGAGCATTCAAAATACTGTTCAACTATAAAGCCTTTTCAGTTATGAACTTAAATATAATCTAGCAGGTCACTAAAAGTATTAAAATTTAAAAGTAAATGAAATTATCAACTTCTACATATTAAAAGTTAATTCGTAATAATAAATCTGTTATACAATTTTGAAATTAAATAAATCATTATTTGTTTGATAACTAGACGAGTTACCTTGTATATTTTACATGTTAGTTTTATATACAAGTAGTGAAATTTCCTCATAAAAGTCCCAATTTGGTATATTAGTAAAAGATTTTTATAAAATTAATGTTCAAATATTTCCCATACGTCAAATGCGTTAAAAATGTCTAATGAACTTATGTTATGTAATTTTATAATTCGTATTATTTTAAAGAGTGTTGAAATGTTTAAGAAAAGTCTTTTTTTGGAATAATGAATCTTATTATTCAATGATAAATTAAAAAATTTGACTTAAATGACATTTAATAATCATTTTATTTTAGATAAATTAAAATAGCAGATTTTGCGTAATTGACAGAGGTAAACAATAAAAACTGTATGCGACGGACTAGTCGAGACAAAATGAGGTAGGGGCGATCGTATCCAATAATGTAGCCGACATAATTTTTGAGTGATGTAAGAGGACATAAGTCCGTTTATTAATGACACAACAGTTTTAAGAGAATTTATGTACACGTCTTTAATAAAATAAAAACTGTATTTCATTCATCTGCGAATCACATAGACGAGAATAAAAGACCTCCATGTATTGCTGAGATGGTCAGGAAAATACTACCTCTTGTAAAACTGTTGAAGGCCAAACGATATTTGGTGAACTGTATATCCTCGAGTCGTAAACAAGTGACAAGCACTTAACCATTACTGATCACATAGAAAGTTGGTTGATAAAGAGAGACTCGGGCAGGCGTTCTGTATAACACAGCCACACAGTATCATATCATATATAAATTATTAATTACTCCATTAATGAAATTATGAATTCTGGTTGATAAAACGGACATGTTAAAGAACCATCATAATATACATAACATACACATGACCTATCATATTTAATAGGTTTGTAAAACAGACATACTACTTTTGATGTAAGCTAATTTAATTTCACTTCTTTTTAAATTGCTTTTTTTAAATGAAATGGTGTTATTAAATAATAATTTTACTAGAACCAACAAATTTAAAAAATCTGAAATAATAAAAAAAAAGGTTTATTACAAATATTTAATCTAATTAATGTACGTTGAATATGAGTATTTTTTTCAAAACCAACGGAAGTAATTTTTTTAGTTGCATAAATAGTTAACATAAATTTTTGTTTGTTGAGTCGATAAAGAAATATTTATTGCTTATAAACTGCATCGATAATACGTTGAATATTCCCTAAATTTAATGAAATTTGTCTTAGTAATATACTGTAATATTAAGATAGTTTGCACAACATATTAATAATTATTAACTACTAATTCATACCATGCTCTGCTTTATTACACAAATAGAATATATTATAACATTATCAACGAGATAAACAAGATCCAGGAATTGTTTTCAAATTATACATAAAGCAATTGAAGACATTAACTGGCATTTTTAAAAGTTAACAATATAGTTTTAAATAATTAATGTTGTAACGTTTTATTAAAAATTCGCAATATAGCATTATATGATAAATTCTGTTCAATCCAGGTTTAGAATTAATCAAATATAAAAAATCGACCGATGCATTACAATTAAAAATAAATTTCACACTATGTTGTTAATTATTTTTGCTCCATTTAGAAAAAGTCAGTATATTAAAGAAAAATTGTTCTTTTGATAGAAAGTTGTATTTTAAACATTAATATTATTACATTTTATAAATTTGTTAAAATATGGAATTGTTCTTTGTTATTAATAATTAGAAGTAAAAAACATAGTATGATTATTATTTTTAGAATTAATATATTTTACAATAAGTTTTTGCATAATTTATACCTGTTTTGTAGGTGTTTTTCTTAGAAAACTTTTAAGGTTAGAAACCGACCGGTAAATATTTGCTATTGTTGCCAATAATCTAATTAAAATGGACGATATACGTGTATCTTTTAACACAATTCTCTCTGACCAACAATCTTTAAACGATTTATTTACCCATTGTAAATAATTATATTTAATGCATCAACGATTTTCACTATTATAATGAAATCCTGCCCTGTGTGCATAAACACGTCGTCAAATTATCATATAAACATAACTCCGATACATGTGAAATTCTCAGAATAATGTTGAGATAACCCTGAGACGTTTAATGCTCAATTTAATGAAATTAGTGCATACAAAACTTTAAATATGCTTTTTCGTATACATCACAATGTTAACACTATGCGATGTTCATTAGATGTCTAATACTTCTTTGTGAATTTACTTAAAATGCATTGTTATTTTGAAATCGCACCAGAAAACAAATAAAATCTTATCTAATATCTTGTCGTAATATTTTGTAACTCCATTTAATTTATTCACATACACTTTTAAACACGAAACTCATAACTTTCTCATTGTGATATATTTGTTTTTAAAATTACTCGAAATCACATAACTGTAAAAATGTGCTGTCACTCTGAGAATAAAATCAGACATTACATCGATTTCGACGTTATCTTAATGCGCATAGGGTAACTATGATGAAATATTTATTTATTAGGCAAATTATTAGGTTTTCTNGATGAAATATTTATTTATTAGGCAAATTATTAGATTTTCTGATCCAAATTAAAGTTGAAAACTTTTTAAGTGTTCAATCATTATGCAATATGTTATCTCTTTGTACTTGTATATTATGTAAATTCAATATTAACATTATTGGGGTTGTACTTCTCTGGAGTACCTGCAAATATCAGAGTTACAGTTTATAACATAGTTCAAGTATAAACTATTGGATATAACAGAAAAAGCGACTTTTGATTATGAATTTGTAATAGTCAAAAAACTTTTTATTAATGATTCAATAAAAAAAATAAATATATAAACCAATTTCATAATTATCAACTTGAGTGTCTTCGTGTGCATGTAAAAAACAAAAAAAAATATAAAGAATATGAAGAAATGTCTACAGTAATTTTATAAAAAAATAATTCATATATTGTAATGTTTTTTTTTAATTCTTTTTAATTATTATCATATTATTTATGTATTAATTATTTATTAATTTGTAGTTATGTTTTACCATAAAATGATCAAATATCTAAAAATGTTTACATATAACAATAATTAAGTTATAATTAAAATTTAAAAAAAAACATGTATCAATAAACTTCAACATATCTTGTAGCATATTATAAAACAAAATTATGTTCATATTAAATTATTCTTAGATACACAAAAGAATTGATTTCCCTGGAGATATTCTGCTATATTTTCAGTAGAAATTTCAAAAACTATATATATATTTCTGAGTATAAAAGTTCGATAGCAATTATATGTTTAAAATGTGTCTAAAATTAATTCTAAAATATTATTAAAACATTGTTTAGTAATAAACAATTTTTTAAATAAATCAATGTCAATTTATTAACATTTAGTTTTAATAATATAACAAGTAATTTAATTCATTTACTTACCAAATTGTCAGAATATCATTGCCTTGTTAATATTGTCATTTCTCTGACATTTTAAAACTGGTAAGTGTTATGAGTGCAAACGAGCCACAAAATATTAAACATTTATTCATTGAATTAAAGAAGTAGTTTAATAATTTTAAAATTAGAGTAAAATACTTGTTTTACCAACGCCATCGAAAATTTAATTAAAAAAGTTGGCACTATAAATAAGACTATTACATTTCAATTATAAAAGTTTGAGCCTTATTCAAAAGGTATAAAAATAATAGTAATCAAATAAAATATTGTTTAATACAATCAAATTAATAATGAAATATGCTTACCTGAGAACACGAAGTTCACGATTGAATAGCTTGTACAATTGAATGTCCCGCGTGANTTGAATAGCTTGTACAATTGAATGTCCCGCGTGATTGTGAAGAAAATGCGCATATCCATTTTCCAGTTGGTTCATTGGCTGTAAACATTTTGAACGAAATAATAGTGCACATGCAAAATAAATATAACCCTCTTTTTTACCTTACAGTATACAGTGCAAAATAACATTTTCTTTCATTGTTATGCC